CTGCACAGGTGCAAACACATTTCAGTGAAGCAGAGAGACCCTGAAGAAGAAATTTCCTTCTCTTTTGTGGAATTATAACATGCATAGCCCCACACAAAATATATATAGAATGACTGTTATTATTTTGTTTTCAAGCATGTTTGTACTTCACGAGAGAATGCTTCTTAAGATCTGGAATAAAACTGCATAAATCTAATCCCAGTACAGTGACCCTGCCTATTAAATCTTCAATGCCTCACTTTGGTGCGCTGCTGCCAGCTTGGCCAGCTTCTGTGGCAGTTTTTCAAATGAACTGGACATAAATTTTGCTTTGCTGCATGTCAAAGCTCTAGTCACAAACAAAACAACTGGGGGGGGGGGGGCAGCCTCTCTTTCACAGCATGGAAGCCCTCCATTACAAGGAACCTTAATGAAAACAGGTCCATCTCTAGCACTGAGCAGAGTTTGTGCTAAAAAATTATAAATAGTTCATTGTATTCAGAGGTGAATATCAATGGGTTCAATTAGACTTGTTTCAAGCATGCATAAGATAGTGGCTTGTATTGTATCTCTACAAGCAGTATGCTTATTCAGGTTAGTATCACATATATTAGTTTTTCCTAATTTTTCAGTGATTTCCAGAAGAAGCGAGGAATAACTCTGTTCTCACTGGTTTCACATTTCCTGTCATTTCACATCTCTGCTTCTCATTATCCCTAAGAATCTACTCCCATGTTTACAGGGAGAAGGTAAAGCTTTCTTCCTCATATCTAGTACAGTCAAATCATGCACAATGTTAGCATTAGTTGTAGTAATCCTCTTTCCATTGTTGCAACGAATGTAGCAACAGAGAAAAGGCGAGTAGACAATGAACATTTACTGAACTAGAAAGTAATAAGACCATGGAAAGTCCAAAATGGGGAGGAGAAGAACTAAAGGTTTTTAGCCGCCTTGAGTCCCCACAGGGAAAAAAGGTGGGGTATAAATAAAGATAATAATAATAATAATAATAATAATAATAATAATAATAATAATAATAACAGGCTTGAGAAATTTCAAAAATGAAAGTTCAAAGAATGGAGCTTTATTATTGGGCTGTAGAAAATCATGAAAAAAAATTCAACTTTAAATTTTTTTCTGGAAACATATATGCTGAAAAGTACAGTGTTCCCAACAGTAGATATAGTGACATATAGCGGGCCCACAAGAGATATAGGGATTCAGATAGGGGAAAAAACTGATGATTATGCTCCATCTTATTAAATGACAGCAACATGAATGTGCGTTTTCCGCATAGGTCATGACAACCCATGGTCAACTAAAATAATGGATCTGGATGATCTAATTTATTTTTAGTTCATTACTATCAAAGTTAGAAAGATAAAGCTGTTCACAAGTTATTCTTCGACTGACAACTTATACAAATTTATCTTCATTGGCTAAACAAATTCTAAGAGTATTGAGAGGTAAGAACAAAAAAAAACCTGAAGAAGCTCTTAAAATGCACACAGGTGTTTCAGTTCACTTCATGGAGAATGTAGGTTTCTAGTTTTGAATTTTAAACTTCCTCTTCTGCTTCAGAAAATTAATTCATATGAATTCCTGATTAAAAATAAAAGGTCATGCAATCAGCATTCAGAACTCCAGCCGGGAATGTCATGGCTCAAAGGGCAGAAATCTGCTTAGAGCTACAAGAGAACCCAACTGAATTTGTGGCGTCTCAGTCTATGAATGTGTAAGCACTTCATCTGTTCACTACAACACAATGTGCAAGGGGCTTACATGGCTACAGACCAAGAGCAGGACAAGCAAACAGCGTAACAGGCAAAAGCTACCATAACAAACAGGTTTTATTTTGTCAGACCCTAAATACATATACATCTTCCATTTATTTTTTTCAGCAAGGTCTCATGTTTTTAAAAAGGAAACTCTGCAAATTTGCTGAATATTTTTAACACTACGATGGAATTATTAAGTTATCATCCTCTCCTATTTCAACTGTTTTTGAAGACAAAGAGAACTATATAAAATTGTGAACAAATCAAACGAGTGACAAACAGAGCCTGGGGATCTGTGAAATGGCAGAGGACTACAGCATGCTTACATGTCATCATGCTGCTCAGTTCACAGCCAAATCAATGTTTGCTTTTTGGATTTTTTCTGAATATCGTCAAGCAGTGGTTGATTGAACCCAGGGATTCAGAACCTGTGGTATGGAGGGCCAATTGTACTTCTCAAAACCAGGCTAAGAGGGATGAAAGGAGGCATGACACACAGAAGTCTGTGGGATTTCAATTTAACAGATGATAATATAGAGTTCTAAAGTAAAAAAGTAAGCAATGCTGACTCACTAATACGAGAACAAACCTTACCAGATGAAATGCACAGGAACTGTTACACTTCTAGAAGTATGAACACCTGTGGTGAAGTGTGAGTTTTAATCTATAGTTATGTATAATTGTAGATAGGTGTTTGAAGGCCTGAGTATTTAAAGTAGCATAATTGGTGGGGGATGGTAGCCAGCTTAGTTCACTCTGAGCTGGGTTGCCATGAAAAAAGGGGCGGAGCCAACTGCCACTTGGCAGGGCAGCCATTTTAACACAGTTAATCTGTAGTCAGCGAACTACAGGGAAGGATGGTTCTGTTGTGTGTTGAGAACCAGTAAAGTAGTCTGTAGTCTGGAGCCCCCGGTGGCGCAGTGGGTTAAACCCTTGTGCCGGCAGGACTGAAGACCGACAGGTCGCAGGTTCGAATCCGGAGAGAGGCGGATGAGCTCCCTCTATCACCTCCAGCTCCTCATGCGGGGACATGAGAGATGCCTCCCACAAGGATGATAAAAACATAAAATCATCCAGGTGACCCCTGGGCAACGTCCTTGCAGACGGCCAATTCTCTCACACCAGAAGCGACTTGCTCCTCACACGACAAAAAAGAAGTCTGTAGTCTAAGAACTACAGGGAAAGGCTGATTCTACTGAGTTGAGAATCAGGAAGGATTTGACTTTTAGCCTGTGTAGCTTAGATAGGTCAAGTTGACTTATTTATATTATTAGTCAGTGTATGAACAAAAAGGGGGAGAGAACACTAATAATAATCTTTACTGCAACAGAAATAACATAAGGAAGGAATAAGCTTGTACCTGAAGTAATTTGTCAAAGAAAGAAACACATTTTGAAGGAAAATAAGTTCAAACCATGTTTAGTGAAAGGAATAGTCTTCTTAACTGTTGTTTTATGAAATGTATTAAATGTAACCTCTGAAGAAATGTGCCTCTAAGAGCTAAGAAACATTGAAACCATCAAGCTTCTTCTAGACTTCAATAAACTTGTTACAGTTTCTTCTAAAGCCAAGTCTCTGTTACAAATACTTCCAAGTTAAGCCACGTTACACATTGAAGAAAGACCAAATCAACATTACAAGCTATTAGTTGTGTTATCGGTTTAGTAAGTCCCTTCAAAGTGGTGGCTCCTTTACAATCCGTTACAAACTGGTGGAATCTTTACAAATTGGTGGACTCTTGTCAACACCTTTCTAGACATTAGTTGTCAATCATTTGTAAAGCCTCAAATGTCATGCAAGGCCCTAAATACTCTAAAGACACCAGATTATTTCTGATCCCGGAAGTTAAGAGGAGCTAGTTCTGGTTAACATTAGGATGGAAGAATTCAATAAATATCTGGTGCTATAGGCTATATTTCAGAGGAAGGAACTAGCAAAATCATCTTTGAGTTTCCCTTGGCTTAAAAAAAACCTTATAATTTGACAAGCAACTTGAAGGCACATACATACACAAATGTTATAGTAGCAACATAACTCCTGCTGAAGTCAAGAACCATCAGAACACGCTTTATAAAGCACGCCACTTCTATAAAATACACCTTAAATAATTTTGCCCACATCAGCAAAATCGGTTCACAAACTTTTTTTCTCGAGTCTATGATGAATTGATGCACAGATAAAAAGAAAGCAAAAGGGCCCCAAATAAAGTACATTTAATAAAAGTGAAAATTCAAATTGAAAAGCTATTATGCAATGAAAAATATTACAGCGGGCTCATGATCCATGGATTGAACTCATCATGGATTTAAATGGATGGCGAGCAGTTTCTGCAGGGATGTGGCAGTACTGCTGCTCCTGACCTGCTATCACATGGTGGCGACAACTTCCACGGGGATTTTTTTTTTTTTTGCAAGGACATTGCCTAGGGGATGCCTGGATGTTTTGATGTTTTACCATCCTTGTGGGAGGCTTCTCTCATGTCCCCGCATGAGGAACCGGAGCTGACAGGGGGAGCTCATCTGCTCTCTCCCCTGATTCGAACCTGCGACCTGTTGATCTTCAGTCCTGCCGGCACAAGGGTTTAACCCATTGCGCCACTGGGGGCTCCTTCCATGGGGATAAGGCAGTATCATTCCTGCGCAGGTGTTCAAGAACAAATTAGCAGGAGAGATATGCTGCTGCCACCAATCACCATATTCCTGTGGAAGTTACCTGAAAGTGGAAGCAGGTAACTTACACAGGAATATGGTGGGGCCCTTGGTGGCAGTGGATCTCAAAAATGCCATAATGGACAGGTTTAGCACCACTTCCACTGTTGCCCTGTTCCATTTTTAATAGGGAGTTGAGTATTTGCATTTTTAATATCTGCTGGGGAGTGGGGGAAATGACTAATCAGAGAATTACTATTCATTTTAATTAGGGTATATAAGTGAACTTCCTAGTGGATTGTGCCCCATGTTAATTAGTGGAAGGAAGATGACATTTGGTTTCTTTACATGAAGCACTGGAATATCTAATGCCAGTTATAATTATTAGCACATTCTAAAGTCAAAGTCCAACCATGCATCAAGCACTTATTACACAGGAGTTGCAGAGTTGGACGAATCTTCTTTCACTAACAGATGTCTGGTCAAATGACGAAACAGAGATATAGCAGCTGCAAGGAAGGATTAGAGAAATGAGGGGACATTAATTTGACATACCAGCCTTTAAGACTGATTAATCCCTCCCCTAGCCCAATACCTTCTCATCTTTCGTGTTCACATCCACTTTTTTTGATCTGATGGCTTTGGTTACATGGTCGATGTTGTTTTCTCTGCAGTAGTCAAATATATTCTTATCTTCCTCCCTAAGAAGGAATAAAAAAAGGGGGGGGGGGAGAGAAGGTATACTGTTACTGAGCAACACACGCAAGTCTCAAAAACAGGAGACACCAGCTTTTCTGGAAACCAAATCGTTTCAAGCAATACTGATAGCAACACATTTTCACTGCTTAGAATGCAAATTGCATTACTTTGGTACATATGTATTCTGCATCACAATTATTTAAACAATATACTGCAAACTAACTTCCCATAAGGAAAAAAAGAACCAATAGATTAGCCTAAGATAGGAAGTCAAGGCTGTAGTACAATTTCAACAGTCAAATTTATAATGGAAAAAATGGATTTACTACCTTTCAAAATATGAGGCCTGAGTAGTATCTAAAACAAATCCTCATCCTAACTCCTGATGCCACTCAGTGATCATGGCAAGGTTAAATTCTCCCCTCCAACAATTATAATGATCACGGCAACTATTTTATAGTAAAGAACACTAAGCAACAAGAGAAACAAGAGAAAACGGGTGATACTCCCAGGATGTCTGCAGCTTGTTGGACTGCCCACTTGAGGACTTTAGTCTTTTTTTTCCAGCTGCAAAGGAACTTTAAATCTCATTATCATTACAACCACACATATCCAGATGCCTACCTTCCTTTCACTTTTACTTTTGGAGGTCCACAACACTATGTTTTTGGAGTTTGGGAACAGACATTCAGCAGGTTTCCAGGCAGAAGCCACAGTAGACTGGTTTCTGACAACAGCAATAGGATCACGATGGGGGTCAGAGCACACTGGGATGGGCCTGGGTGGGTAGGTGGGCTGGTCTGGGAAGGGGGCAAGGCTTGGCATGGGGAGGGAGGCTGGGGGCGCTTGGCACAAAGGGGGAGGCTGAGGACAGTTGGCATGGGAAGAAGAAGGCCGATGGGAGGTTGTCATGTGGGAGAGAAGGTTTCACATGTGACTGGCGGGGCTCCGCTCAGCTGCGGGTTCATGCAGGGCGCTCCTCTTCGTGGGAGAACACAGTGACCCATCATGTCCTCCTGCAAAGAGGAGGGCTTGACATACAACTGTGCGAGGCTCTCGGGAGAGCCCCGCACAACCATGTATGCCTACGGGGACTCCTCTTCGCAGACGGACTTCGTGGCCCACCATGTCCTCCTGTGAATCAAAGGGCTTGACATGTGGTTGGACAGAACTCGGGAGAGAGAGCTCTGTACAGACATGTATGACTGGGAGGGGCCAGAGCCAGGACTGTGACAAACGGCTGGGGGCCGAAATCAAAAGCCCAAAGGGCCACATCCGGCCCACGGGCCTGGGCTTGTTTATGCCTGGTAAATGTCCTGATGTCATTTGGAGGAGATACGAGTGTTTTGTTTGTTGGGGAGCTGTGTTGAGGTTTTGAAGGAGGAGTAAGAAAGATGGAGATAGTAGTTGCAGCTGTAGTTAGTGGGCTGCAATGGTGAGTACTGCAAGCAAACCATTATCCGTGGGATGATGCCTGTGAGAGGAGCCACTTAGACCATTTACACGACTGTTGCAGGAGGAACTATAGTGCCATTGACAATGCAAGGGAGGGAGGAATCCTTGAAACCATAGTAATCATCCCCAAGGATGGAGAGTGAGAAACCAAAGTAATCTAGGAGATAGATGGAGCAGCAGCACTGGAACTGATAAGTGCTGCCACAGAGAATCTTCATGTTCTATATGGTCCCAGCATCAAAACAAACCCATAGCATAGAGAGTAATCATAGGGAAATTGCTACAATACTGATGGCAGGGTGAGTGATGGTGTCAGTGTTAGTCTTGGTGGTGATAATAGTCCTAGCAGGACACACAGTGATGGTAGGGGATGGGGGCTTCCTCAATGAGGTATACCAGACTGAGGTAAGTAGATATCAGATGGTCTTGATACTTTGGTCTTGAGGAATATGACCCTTCCCTTTGGGGGAATAGAATAAGAAAGTGGCACTGAGATGAGAGTCACTTCCAAGGGGAGTGTGTTAGCATTACCTGCAACTCTTATCTGCAAAAAGGATGGTATCAAAGCCATGGCTGTCTTGGGCAGCAAGTGTGAATTAATGATTTGCCTTTTTCTCATTGGGACTAGACTGGGGTGGTCTTTGGTAGTACAGTGCTTATGCTGCTCTCTCCCATCAGGACTGTAGCAGAGATTAATACTGTGGTGACAGAATGGGAAGCCACAGCACTGACATCAGTGGGAACTGACATTGGCTTTAATATTGAAGAGAACTTAAGATTTAGTGGTGGGTGAGGTGGTCATAGAGTGGCTACTTAATACTCAATACTGAAGCCAATGTTGGTTCCTACCCTGCAGACTTCTCAGTGATCTTCAGAGATTTCTCGAAGTGAAAAACTTTGAGCCCAGAAGCCTTGGTGTTGACAGCCTGGATCATGAAGCTGCAGCAGATCCTACACTTGTCCACTGTGAGCTCCTCCCCAAACTGAAGAAACACAAGAAATGGATGTCTGAGAAGAAGACCTTGCAGCTTGAGGAAGTACAGTGTTTAAAATGTGAAGTAGAGACCAAGGGGAGAGAGAGAGAACCCACGGAGAAATGTTTTCTTAATGGAAAAGGAGAAGAGAAGGGGAGTTAGAAAGAGTAGAACACAAAGGAAGAAATGCCCAACTGAGAAAATAACCAAAAGTAGTCACCCTACCAGTGGACAAAGAGAAATTGAGGGGAGGGTAGCTTGCTGGACAAGAGTCTGTGCAGTAGCCGGTAAGGGGTGGGGCTTCCTGTCAAGCTACTCAGTTCTAGAGCTTTCCAAAGAGGGTCTCTCCATAGGTGCAAATCCAAGTGTGAATGGCACACAGACTATGAAGAAGAACATTGCCTCTCCACAACCAACTACAATACCAACAACCAACAATACCAAGCTCAAGCAACTGGATATTGATATAGAAGTGAAAAATGCAGAGTAAGTGGGGTTTCAATTGTATGATTTCTGTACTCTTTCAGTTACACTTTATGTGCTTAATGAATTATGATTCATTCTTCAGAACACAGAGGTTTCTTCTCCTTCCCTTCTGCTAGTGAAGCAGTTTTAAAATGAAAGTGCTGATACTGGCTCTTGCAGAAAAAGGGGAGGAAGCCAAGACAGAGCTTCTCTTAAGATACTGCCTCTGCATAGTATTTTTTTTTTTTTTGCCCTCGTCTCAGGAGCAACTTGAGGAACTGCAAGTTGCTTCTGGTGTGAGAGAATTGGCCGTTTGCAAGTGCCCAGGGGATGCTTGGAAGTTTGATGTTTTACCATCCTTGTGGAAGGCGTCTCTCATGTCCCCACATGGGGAGCTGGAGTTGACAGAGGGAGCTCAACTCCCTCTCCCTGGATTCAAACCGCTGGCCTGTCAGTCACAAGGGTTTAACCCACTGCACCAGTAGGGGCTCCTGCATAGTATATATTCAGGAAGGAATCAGATTCTATGCAGAGGCACAGCCTTTATTTTAATTTATAGCACAATGTTTGTCCACTCAGGAATAAATCGCAAGCCATCATATTTTCGGATTTCACACCCAGGTAAATTAATTACAGTCACAGGAAATATAGTATTTCAGACCACAAGTACAGAAGTTGCATACTTGAAAGTTTCTCTATTTTGTTTTGTTTGTTAGTGAGATGAAAGTTACTAATGTCGCTGTATCTTAGGTAGAGGGAAGCACTTCAGGAACAACAGCTAAAAAGAATTATTCTAACTAACGTATGGTAATATTGACACACTGTGGGGCCATACTCATTGCATTCATCCTAAGAAATCTTTAATCCCTTTTAGATTCAGATGTCATATCACATATTCCATCCATAAAATAAACCATTATAAGACATAGGATCTTACAGCCTATGAGACTGAAAGAATTTAATAGCACAAGATTTCATAGACTGCAATAGACTTCATCTGATATGCGCTGGATGTAGACCTAAGTCTATGAAAGCTTTATTACCAACTGCTTTCTCTCAGTTAGTATCCAAAGTGCTGCAAGATCCCTCTGCATAAAATAAAGAAATACTAAACAGTAACAGCAATTAATATTTGACAGAAGCAGAAACACCACTAATGAAAAGGAGCATGCCACGTTCCAAGACTCTATATCTCTAATGCTACTTTATTAATGGCCTAATAATTTTTGTATGGATTTTCATTATGTGATGACGACGACAATATTATTATTATTATTATTATTATTATTATTATTATTATTATTATTATTATTATTATTATGTGTTTTAACAATGTTGTAACCTGCCTCAAGCCATGAGGAGAGGTGGGTAAGAAATAAAATTATTACTAATTATTATTAGAATTTGGTAGGAGGATGCTACTCTGTCTATGCATTACATGCTGGCAGCCTTATCTATCAGCTCAGAACTATGCTCTAAGCACACTGAAACATAATGAAACGATACAGAAATAGGAGCCAAGACATAGATGCAACAGTTGCTGTTTATATCAAGGCCTTCTTGCGCTACCCCCCCATACCCCCCCCCCCGGGACCCATCTTCACATAATCTATAATTATCTCTTCGTTTAATCGCCCCGGTCACTTCTGAGGCTCTCCTGGGCACAGGAAGAGGAAAAGCTCATTAACTAAACCTTTTCCAGTCTCTCCAGCCACCCATAGCTTTTAATTGCTTGGTGTTGTTATTATCTATCAGTGCAACTGGGATCATTTTCATAAGAAAGAGTGGTGGGAGGGGGGAAAGCAGGCACATGTCCCTGAGGTATGCATTGCAGACAAACCTTTGCTTTCTCAATTATTTATGCCAGCTGAGGTTTTACAGGCTGAATAAATCCATAACTCAAGTTTATTCTGAACAGTTTGGTTCCCCAGGGGATATGTGTTGCCCACTTGCCGGCACTCTTCTGTGCAGTCCTCAGAGAATAACTCGGACGTAACAACACATGTGTCAGCCAATTGCCCATGCATGAAAAAAGTATGCACGAAATTCTGTATCAGCAATGCAGGGGCAGATGAAAATTTAAAATCCTTAGAAACTCGTCAGAGTAT